AGCTGTGCGACGAGTGCCTCATCGGCAAACAGAGGTGCACACCCTTTCCGTCTCGAACATTCTACCAAGCCGACGAGCCGTTAGAGCTTGTACAAGGCGATATCTACAGGCCAATCAAGCTGGCGACCCCAGGCGGTAAGAGTCTCTTCCTCCTGTTAGTCGATGACAAAAGCCGCTTCATGTGGCTGACCCTGTTGCAAACGAAAAGTGAGGCGGCAGAGGCGGTTAAGTGCATTAAAGCGCGAGCGGAGGCCGAATATGAGATGCGAGTGTTGTGCACAGACCGAGGCGAAGAATTCACCTCGGAAAGTTTCGGTAAGTACTGTGACAAGATTGGCATACAACGGCACCTAATGGCGCCCTACTTCCCCCAATAGAACGGAGTGGTGGAGCGCCAAAATCAGACCATCGTCGGGACAACGAGGTCATTGTTGGTGACGGCCGTGATGCCTGGGAGATTCTGGAGAGAGGCAGTAATGACGGCCGTTTATCTCCTCAATCGGTCACCAACCCGAAGCCTCAACGGGAAGACGCCATATGAGGTCTGGTACAACAAAAAACCAGCGATACATTCATTTTCTCGTGTTCGGCTGCGTCGCATACATGAAGGTAACACGTCCCCACCTCGCCAAGCTCGATCCCAGGGGCTGAAGGTCGTCTTCATCGGCTATGAACCTGGGAGCAAGGCGTACAGACTATATGATCCTGTAGGGGGCGAGCTCACGTGTCTCGTGATGTCGTCTTCGACGAAAGCACCTTCTGGCAGTGGAATGACATGATCGAGGCAGACCATAATCCAAATCAATTCACGGTGAAGTACCTCGTCACCGAGCCGGAAGAAGGAGGAGCCTAGCATCAGCAGCCGTCACCGTCGCCAGCAGGTGCAACCCTTGAACTAGTGGAATTCACTACACCACGGACTACGGATTCGACGCTGGATGCCGGTCACGATACTAATCTGGAGGCCAGGTACCGGAGGATGGACGACCTAGTGGGAGGAGGTGAACCATCTGGACTGGCAGCGCGCGAGCTCGAAGAAGTGGCCGAACTACATGCCATCAGTGTAGATGAACCGAACACCTTCACCGAAGCAGAAAAGAACCCGTGCTGGCTGAAGGCAATGCAGGAGGAGATGACATCCATCACCGAGAAACAGAGTCTGGAGGATATGCCGCCGGGACACCAAGTCATAGGGCTCAAATGGGTCTTCAAATTGAAGCGCAACGAAAAAGAAGAAGCTGTGAAGCACAAGGCCCGTCTGGTGGCGAAGGGCTACGTCCAAAAGCAAGGAGTAGACTTCGAAGAGGTATTTGTGCCAGTGGAAAGGTTAGAATCCGTTCGTTTCTTGCTGACAATTGCGACAAATTACTCTTGGGAGGTTCACCACATGGATGTAAAGTCTGCTTTCCTTAACGGAGAGCTGAAGGAGACCGTCTATGTCCGACAACCACCTAGCTTCCTGGACAACGACAACCCCAATAAAGTACTGCGCCTGCACAAGGCACTCTACGAGCCTGGAACGCGAAGCTCGATAGTACCCTACTATCACTAAAATCAAACGTTGCGCCTCTGAGCATGGCATGTACACGCACGACCATGGCAAGAAGCGACTGATCGTGGGAGTGTACGTCGACGACCTCATAATCACTGGAGGCGACGTGGAAGTTCTCGAAAGGTTCAAGAAGAAGATGTCGAAAAACTTCGAGATGAGCGATCTCGATGTGCTCAGCTACTATCTCGACATCGAAGTGCAACAGAATTCTACCGGCATCTCCATCTGCCAAAGTGCATACGCAAAGAAGCTGCTAGACACAATTGGGCTTGTGGACAGTAATCCTACAAGGACGCCAATGGAGGCTCGACTCCAACTAAGGAAGGCTGGCACTACAACGACAATCGACTCCACCAATTACCGCAGCATTGTCGGGAGTCTGCGCTATCTGGTAAACTCTCGTCCTGATCTTGCTTATTTTGTTGCATATGTGAGGAGGTTTATGGAAGCACCTAGGGAGGAGCATCTAGTGGCTGCCAAGCGCATCCTGCGCTATGTAGTCGGAACCAGAGGCTGGGGTGTAAGATACTGCGCAAGGAGCGGAAAGGAGAAACTCAAGCTGGTCGGCTACAGTGATAGTGACATGGCCGGTGACGTTGATGATCGTAAGAGCACTAGTGGAATGATCTACTTTCTCTCGGGCGGCGCAATCTGCTGGAAATCAACAAAACAGAAGGTAGTTGCTTTGTTTTCCTGCGAAGCAGAATACATCGCCGCTTTGATGGCAGCAACACAAGGGATCTGGCTTGCGCGACTAATGGAAAAACTCATCGGGAGAGAAAGTGATCCACCAATGCTATACGTAGACAACAAAGCTACGATCTCCCTGATCAAAAATTCAGTTTTGCACGACTGGAGCAAGCACATAGAAATCAGATTCCACTACATTCGAGAATGTGCAGATCGATGGCTCATCAAGATTACATCCGAATAGAGGAACAACTTGGAGACATTTTCACCAAGTCCCTAGCGCGGGTGAAATTTGAAGAACTACGCTCAAAGATTCAAATAATAAGGTACAGCTTTTAGGAGAAGATTGTTAAATAAAAGTCATGTTTCTCATTTAGTTAGGTTTCTCTAAACATCTGAATTCACGCAAATGGAAGAGCATAATTTTAGGTGCCATTTGGCCTTTTGGGGAAGTCTTCGTCCAATTTTCTATTTTTGTATAATTAGTTTTTCTATTATTGTAATTAGATTTGTTATTTAAACCATTCAACTCGACGAAAATAAAGATATGGAGTCTTCAAAATCTCAGCAGATCTCTCTCCCTCACTTCTTTTACTTCCACTAATTTTTTTTCTTTCGAAAGAAACCTTCGGCCAATTTTTCGTCGACATTGTCCTCCGAATTGCCAGAGTCAACATTCAACGTATAGGATTCGTCTAAATCTACCCCTGATGTGTGTAAAAGGTTATGAGATTACTTTTGTTGCGTAAAATGGAGGTTTTGACGTCGATTTCATATGGTTTGACCTCGTCGGAGTTTCGTCGGGTTTTTCTGTTCCTTTTCGTTTTTCTCTGTTTTTTGTTCTTTGTAGGTCATTTTGGGGTGGCTAAAGGTCAGGGTCGAGTTCTGTGGCATCCCAGCCTTCGACCGCCCTTTGTGGGTCGTGTGCGAGCGAAAACTCGCCGGAGTTTTCGGTTCTGCCGACGACCCCCTTACATCCTATCTTCCATTTTTTTTCTCTCTCTGTTGCTTTTAATCTTGTTTACAAATATTGGCCTCATTGATTCTAGTTATTTTATAACCTAACATGCCCATTAAAATCTAAATAACTGGGGAATAGATCTGATTTTGAATAATTAGATAAAGGAAAAGTGATTACTACTTGATTTCTTGAAATACAATTGGATATATGAAAAGGAGATTTTCTCCAATTAAATCTACAACTCTCGAGATAAATCTTGTTGTTGGTATTTTTTTCTTTTTTTAATTGTTGCAGGAACCACCTCTGCATCGGATTCTAAATTTTGACTTAGTTGAGGAGAGATAATTGGAGAGAAGTTTAGGAAAAATTATTATTTTTTATTATTTTTATTATTTAATTATTAATTATTACCATTATTTTTTTTGTACGGTCAAAGTTAGTATTTTGGTCCTCTCATCTTTGATGTCTTGTCCATTTGCTCTAATTTCTTTTATGAGTTAATGATTTAACATGGTTTTTATGAATTATATTTTCTAATAACTTAAGTCCATCGCTAGCACATATTATCTTCTCTATGCTTTTTCTTTTAGGCTTCTCTAAAAAATTTTAAAATGTGTCTTGCTAAAAGATTTTTTACACCTTTATAAAAAAAATGATTCATTCATTTTCCCCAACCGATGTAAGATCTCACAATCCACCCCCTTCGAGCCCTAGCGTCTTCGCTGACACTCGTTCCCTTCTCTAATCGATGTGGGATCTCCTAATCTACCCCCAAAGTCCTTGCTGGCACACCGCCTCTAATTATAAAATGTGACACGTGGAAAAGTTGCGGACTATACAATTATAAAATGACACGCATAAATAAACAAACAACAAAACATAAACATAGGGGGGTTAAGAATGGTTTGAACATGCAACCATAAGCAAACATCACTTTGGACAAACATGCCCTCTAATGACATGTTGTTTGACTGCGTGATGACATGGATATGTCTACTAGTTAGAACTCTAAAAGTTTAGAGACTAAATTCGCATTAAATGTATTAATCATGTATTTTGAGAGAATTCATCTAATCTAGTTTTTATATAAATATTTGTGTTGAAAAATAACCAAACTGATAAGAGCCATTAATGCTGGATTTTGCAAAGCTAGAGGTCCTTTCAGTATTTTTACAAACTTTCAAAAGCTAATTTAACCGATAATTCCAACTAAGAGCGGGTTAGAAGGATGAAGAACTTTTAGATCGAGCTTTAAATCTATGATGATTACTCTCAGATTCCAAGACAACTCACTCCAGAATTAACTTGATCATGACTAATCCAATAAATCGATTTTAACATCCAACCTAAAGCAAGGTTTGAAAGAAAATAACATTTCAAACACAATATTTTTGTATTCCACCATAATTTCAAACTTGAATGTTACAGAGTACAAACTATCAATAAAGCTGTTAAATACAAATAGAAGAAAATAAGGAATGACATAAATAATCTTAAATGTAGTACTATCAAAGACAAATGTCTTTGCGTAAAAATTGCACTCTTCCATACTTAAGCCGTCTATTGCTACAAAACATCTACTAATACGAACGTGCTCGTCTTGAATTTCTTAAATCTTGTGATAAAAAATAAACTTAAATTTGAATGTTTGAGCACTTTGTATTTAATCATTCAAAATTTAAAATCTAAAATGTAAATGTTGGTTAATTTCTTTTTTGTTGCTAATTAATTAATTATTCATAAAAAAAACCTAGGAACTATTTTGAAATCAGTTTCAAATAAGTCGAACCCTTCTCACTATTGCTATTGACTATAATCGAACGCTTTGCAGTGGGGAATTGGGCAATCGGGGAACAGCCCGCCTACGCTACCGTCGTCGGCACAAGGTGGTTTGCTTTGTACATTCTACTTCGCAACCTTCAACAAGCCTATCTTCTCTCTCCGACCTCCCAATTCTGAAAGAAGCCCTAGCAGTAGAGGACGATGGAAGAACCCCGCAATGGCAATGTCGATTCGGCATCAGCAATTCCAGAGACCGAGGAAGAAGCGGCCATCGGTCCCGGTCCTGCTCCTCGCTCGCGACTCAAACGCCCGCTCCAGTTTGAGCAGGCCTATCTGGATACCATCCCCTCTGCTAACATGTAATTTTTTTTTTCTTCCTTTCTTTATAGCTTCAGACCAGTTCAAGCAGGATTATTCATCTTGAACTTTTCTGTTAATTATTGGGTACTTTCATGACTGATATGCAAAGTAATGGAAAATTTAGGTATATTGGGATAATTTAGTTAGCTAAGTTTGGACGATAATATTGTCGCCTGTGTATTGACTTTATAGGACATGAAAGGTTACTAGAGTTTGAATTAGGACTGATACGTTTTATGGATATTGTCAGGGAAATTGGAAGATAGATAGTATCTCATCCATTCTTGGTTTCCTTTAACAGGTACGAGAAGAGTTACATGCACCGTGATGTGGTTACTCATGTTGCTGTGTCTTCTGCAGACTTTTTTATAACTGGGAGTGTTGATGGTAAAATTCTAAGCACCTTGTGTCTCAGAATAGCTTGTGTATGTTTAGTGTTTGTTGTGACTATCATTAACTGAATGAATTATTGATGTGCCAAGACAGAAACATTAGTCCTGTGCAGAATTTCTTTGTTTTAGCCAACGAAAAAGACCTTTAGGTTGTATTATCATTGTCTTTTCTGTTTATCGTCAATAATGCCATAAATTTTATTCTTCTCTCCACCACATATGGCCTTGATTCGTTTCTCAAGCAAAAGATCCTCCTGGGAAGTTTTCTAAAGGAAAGCTAAGTTCTTTTAAAGCAATTACATATGGTAGCTTTTGACGGATTTGAGTAGAAAATGGCTGGATTTTATATGCTGGTGTAAATGAAAAATGTTTACAAGTTTGGTTTTCTTTTGCATTTCCCCTTATATACTTCTCTTAGTTTATGTTAATTGGAGAGTTTATTTTCCTTGTTAATCTCTCTCTCTTCTCTCTGTTATTCTTTTTCTAGGAAGCAAACCATATATATTTACCAAAAAGAGGATGCCTTTTGTATTCATGTATTTTTCTACTCTAATTTACTGATTATTATCTCAATAATATAAATTATAATCTCTTTCTTTTCATCTATCAATGAAAAATTTGTTTCTTATTTTTTTAAAAAAAGGACAAATGAAAAAAAGTTGCTTATTTATGCCACTGCAATAACTTAACGGTCTCTCCCATTATTTCTTCTCTCTCTCACTCTGCCCCCCACCCCACATAGGGCATTTGAAGTTTTGGAAGAAAAAGCCTATTGGTATTGAGTTTGCCAAGCACTTCAGATCTCATCTTGGTCCTATTGAAGGCATAGCTGTGGGTTATTCTCTTGCTTTCTGTTTCCATGCTTCAAATTCTTTTCCTGAGTCGTGTTCTCCAACCATTATCAGTCTCATAAGTTGTTCCGCTTTTGCAGGTTAGCGTTGATGGTTTGCTTTGCTGTACAATATCAAATGATCATTCTGTTAAGATATATGATGTTGTTAATTATGATATGATGGTCATGATACGGCTTCCTTTTATTCCTGGCGCTACTGAATGGGTCTATAAACAAGGAGATGTCAAGGCCAGGCTGGCTATCAGTGATCGGAACTCAACGTTTGTGCACATATATGATGCACGATCTGGTTCAAATGAGCCTATTGCTTCTCGAGAGGTTTGATTGCATCTTTAAGCATCATAGAAGTAGATGTTTTACTCTTTATTACAAATTAGAATAAGTTACATTCAGGGAGCACGTTTTCTTTTTGGGTGATGACCGTCCAACCTCAACTATTATTATGTTTTATGTTGCTTTCAGATACACTTGGGGCCAGTAAAGGTTATGAAGTACAATCACGTATTTGATGCAGTTATATCTGCTGATGCCAAGGGAATTATTGAATACTGGACTCCAGACACACTCCAGTTTCCAGAAAATGAGTATGTTTTTTCTACATGGTTTTTGATTTTTTTATTGAAACTACATGCTTTTCTTTTAGTTTTTATTTATGTTTATGATATAAGAATGTTTTATTACACTCAGTTCTCGTATACATATATGTATATGTATATGCATGTGTGTGTATTTTAGTTGAGTTACATGATACATAAATGGTTATAAAGAGGGTTACCTGATAGTCATGGAGGGGATTCTCTGCATGGTGCTGCTATAAAAATAGTGTAATGGCAAAAAATCTTTGTTTGTCTTCACCTTGAAGAGAAATGCTCATTGTTGTTTCTACTGAAGACATGAATTATAGTCATAGGAAAGGAACTTGTCATCGGTGATCAATAGCACTCAACACTTCTTAAATGAAGCATTTGTCTGCATACACATTTGTTTTGAGGTAAATAGGATTGTGTGCTGTAGTAGTAGCAACCTCATGGTCACATTGGAAGCACATAGGTCGTATAAATCATACAATTATCAAAACAATTTACTAACATGTAAATAAGGGCAACAAGGTACGTGTTATTCATGCAACAAACAATATCATCCAACTTAGCCTGCAGGTATTCCAACAGTAAATTAGTAAGTTCACTTGCAGTAAAAGTTTAATCGGATGTTCCTAAACCTTTGTAAGCTGACCATCACCTAAGCTCAGCCTTAATGCGGTTCAATTTCTCCTTTGTCGGTCTTAATTGGTAAAAAAAAAAAAAAAAAAAAAAAAAAAAAAAAAAAAAAAAAAAAAAA